CTTCTTGATGATTTGCTGCATTCTGTTTGCCAGTATCTTACTGAGGATCTTTGAATCTATATTAATTAAGGAGATTGCCTGTAGTTCTCTTTTTTGGTTGGATCCTTCTCTGAGTCTGGTATCATGTTAATGCTTGCTTCCAGGAATGACTTTGGAGTATTGCTTCCCTTTAAATTTCATTAGAGTTTGAGGAGTAGTGACATCAGATGTTCTCTAAAGTTCTTGTAGAATTCAGCAGTGAATCCTTCAGGACCTGGGCTTTTATTTGTTGTTAGTTTTTTATTCTTCAATTTCATTGACTGATATTGGATTATTTTAATATGTATATCTTCTTGATTCAGCTTTAGTAATTCATATGTATCTAGGAATCTGTCATTTCTTCTGAGCTTTTCATCTTATTAGGGTACAGTTTCTCAAAGTAGGTACTGATGATCTGGTTTTCTGCAGGATCTGTTGTAATTTCACCCTTTTCATTTTTAATTGGATGGGTTTGGGTCTTTTCTTTTATTTTTGATAAGATTGGCTAAGGGTTTGTCTATACTATTTAATATTTCAAAGAATTAGCTCTTTGATTCATTGGTTCTTTGTATTGCTTTCTTAGTATCAATTGCATTAATTTCTACTCTGCTCTTTAAATCTCTTCTATAAGTGCTTTGAGATTATCTTCCTCTTCTTCTAGAAGCCTGAAGATCAATATTAGGCTATTTTTTTAGTTCACTCAGTTTTTCTGATATGGGAATTCACCAGTATAAAATTCCCTTGTAGTATTGCTTTCATTGTGTCCTCTAAATTCTATGTCATATTGGTATTATTGTTCAATTGTAGAAACTACTTTATTATTCTTTTATTCTTGACTTATGAACTCAATTCTTTATGAGGGCTAGTTTTAACTCAAGTTGGTCAGTTAAAGGCTGAGGCTACTCTACACAGCCTTCACATTCTCTCTCCTGTATAATTTTTGGCCACATTTTCTTCTAGGCAGATCTCAGCCCAAGATTTCTCAATTAACCCTACACAGGAAAGGATGTTAAAATGTTCCTTCTAGTATTCTTAAAGGGTTAAATCCATATTTGAGACCATCTGGAAGCACAAACAGATGGCATTCAGGTTGTAACTCAATACTTTGATTGCAAATTAAAACTAAAATTCCAGTTGTAACCCAAGTTGTTATGCCAGGTTGGTCATAACCCGAGGGTCCACTGTAATTTCTTCTGTGATCCATTGGTTGTTCAAGAGAGCATTATTTAATTTCCATGTGTTTATGTACTTCTTTTTGTCCCATGTGTTTATGTAGTTCTTGTAGTTTCTTTTGCCATTTATTTCCAATTTCATTGCACTATGATCTGATAATAGGCATGGGATAAATTCAGTTCCTTTACATTTGCTAAAGCATGTTCTATGAACAACTACTATGTGGTCTGTTTTGGAGAAAGTCCAACGTGCTGCTGAGAAGAATGCGTATTCTGTTATTGCTGGGTGGAACACTCTGTAAATACCTACTAAATCCATTTGTTCAAAGATTTTGCTCAGCTGTGATATTTTCTTGTTGATTTTTTTGTCTATTTGATTTGTGTATTTTTGACAGTGGGGTGTATAGGTCCCCCATTTTAATTGTGTTTATCTTATTTTCATGTCCATTAGTGCTTATTTTATATGGTTGGGTGCACCAGTATTTGCCATATATATTTATGATTGTTATCTCTTCCTCTTAGATTGTTCCCTGGACCAGTATGTAGTGAGTTTCTTTGTCTCTTTTGATGAGTCTTGTCTTGAAATCCAATTTGTCTGCAAATAGAACATCTTTCAGGGTAAGTGTTCCTAGTTTAATATTTAGATCTTTGATCCATTTTTTAATTTAGTACATGGTGAGAGATATGGGTTCAGATTCAATCTTCTGCATGTGGATAGCCAATTTTCCCAAGAGCATTTTAAAAAGAGGCTTTTTTCCCTTAGAGTCACTTTTTAAAATATTTTTTATTGGTACATTTTAGGTATACAATACAGCTACGTTCATCATTGGGCTCTTGTACCTTTACATGATTCATCTTGGTTCTTATTTTTTCCCCATTCCCCTGGCCTCCCTTCACTCCCTCCACCCTTCCCTATTTACAAAGACTTTGTTTCCATTTTTTGCATTTCTCTTATTTTTTCTTTTCCCTTCTTACCTTTCCCCTACCCCTCCCATTTCCTTTCCCTACACCTTTAGATCTTTTCTTCCTATTACACAATGTCAATTATACATTTTGATCCTTATTTATACTTTTAGTTTATCACACCAGAAAAACTATTAGGTATTTACACATGTGTGTCCTATTAATTTCACTTGAGTATGTCCTCAATGTTCATCCACTTAGCTATAAATATCTCTAGTTTCTCATTCTTTATGGATGAGTAGTACTCCATTTTATATATTTTTTAAAATCCCACATATTCTTTATCCAGTCTCCAGTTGATAGGTAATTGGGCTGTTTCCTTGGAGTCATTTTTGACTCTTCTTTCTCACACCCTACATCAGTAAATTTTGTCTCTCCTTCAGAATCTATCCAGGATCTAATCACCTTTTGTCATCTCTGCTGCTGTGTCCAAATTACCATCATCTCTATTGGCAACAGCCTCTTGCCTGGTCATTCCAATGTCTCCAGCCCTGCAGTCTATTCTTGGCAGAGTTGGCCAATGGGCCCTCTACTACAGTGCAACCCAGACCATGAGTCCTTGCGCTTGTGAGGCAGGCGCAGTGCCACTGAGCTAAATTGCTGGCCCCCTACAAGCCTTTTTGTATAAGCCTTCTGTTCACTCAGTAAATCCAGTACCTTACAATTACCTGAAAGGACCTTCATAATCTGGTCCCTGACAAATTCTCTGACCTTATCTTCTGTTTCCCCTTACTCACAATACCCTGTCCTTATTCAAATCACCACAATGTTAAAAACAGCAATTCTCTCTTCCTTTCGTCATTCTCTATTTCCCTTTCTTCCTTTATTTTTCCTTGTAACAATGATCACAATCTGCATATTTTACTCATCAACTTTATTAATCCCCAGCAGTATGTAAGCACCACTAAATTAGGAAGTACTGTTTGTTTTGTTAACTCATAGTGTTTAGAACTGGACCAGGCACACAGAAGGCCCTCAGTAAATATTTGTTCATCCTTCTGTGGATAATGGTCAGTTGCTTAGGGGGGCAACAAAGCATGCCAGTTTAAGTCATGGATACTAGGGTCTGGTCCAAAGGCAGGCTTGCCTGGTTTCAAAAATTGATTCTACCACTAATTAGCAAAATAAACTACTCAGGCCTTACTTTTCTCATCAGCAAAGTAGGGACAATAATAGAACCTACTTCATAGATAGTTGATGGGGTCATCAATAACTATAAAATCCTTAGAACAGTACTCATCACATAGTAAAGGCTGAATAAACACTTGCTATAATTAAAAGTATATGGAGTTAAAACGTATGAGGTGTGACCAAAATGGGGTTATATTTAATTTTAAAAATTATTACAGTAAAAGACACATTGCCATTCATTCCTCTCAAAATATTCCCCCATATTTCAAATACACTTATCTAATTGTTCTTGCTACATTTTTTTACTTTTTTACTGAGTTTATTGGTACTTTTTAGGCATACAGTACAGTTACATTCACCATTGGGATCTTGTACCTTTACACGACAGGTCTTGGTTCCCTTTTTTCCCCCTTGTCCCTGCCCTCCCTTCACTGACTCCACCCTCCTCTATTTACAAAGACTTTATTTGCATTTTTCCTTTTCTCACATTTTTTTCCTTTCCCTTATCTCCTTTCCCCTACCCTTCCCACTTCCCCTCCACCTTTAGCCCCTTTCCTCCTATTTTACATTATGTTCTTGCTACTTTTAAAATAATTTTTATTAGCACAAGTTTGTGATACATATACACATAGAATCTTGATCCTTTTTACTCCCTGCCCGCGTTCCACCTCCTCCCATTCCTAGATCTCTTTCCCATTTCTGCACAAATCTTGCCCTTTCTGAATGTAGCTCTAGGAGTTCTCTTTCATGAGTGTTTTAGTTGTGCTGTCAAGGCTACCTTGCCATCCTGAAAGAATCAAAACATTTATCTTTCATAATCATTTTAATTTTGGAAAAGAGTCAGAAGTCATACAGTGCCAGATCCAGTGAATAAGGTGGATGAGGGCACACCATATTATTTTTTGAGCTTTCCTTTCCTTCACATGGCACCCAGCAGCAGCATTCACCGTATTTTTTTTATTACATCTCATAAATACACTCACAAAACTTCTTCAAAACTGCTTCCACAACTGCTTCAGTAAGTGGCAAGGACAATGGAATAGGTATGTTTGAAGTGAGGGGGAATATTGTGAGGGGGAATTAAAGACAACATGCTTTACCGTAATAAAATTTACCATATTTTTATCAGCCTTTGTAGGTTAGATTTTCTAATATCTTTCAAGTGTTGTCTTGGGGTTGCCCATGTTAAAATTTATTTCCCACGTTTCTGCTTGATTCCACAGTTTTATATTATCTTCTTGTAATTTACTTATCTCCAGGGGCCTGGCTATTCTGTAAACTTGGATGTTTCCTTGTGTACAGTACTCCCTCCCACAATCATTTCAAAGTAGTTAAATCATAATCTTGTTGAGTTCCAGTTTCCCAATCTGTATGCTGAGTGGGTTGGACTAGATAGTTTCCAAGGGCCCTCCTAGCTGTGATGATCTCCAGGGATGGGACAGGAGGAGGGACAGGACCCACCCTAAGTCCCACCCCCTTGAATTTGCCCTCTGGTCTCCAAGGGAAAGGGTAACAGAGTCAACTGGGCTCAGCTTCAAAGGCAGCAGGTAGGAGATGTGCCAGAGTTCTTGGGCAAGGGTGGTGATGAAGTTCCTGAGCTATATCCAGGTAGAGGGAAGGTGTCAGGGGCACATTACAGTACAGGGAACTGGGACCAGGGCAGAGGTGAAGGCACCATGGGAGAGGTACTAGGGAAATCCAGCCACCCTTATTTCTGTACTTTCTGTCTCTTGGAGGCCATGGCCACTGCAGAGTCCTCGATGTTCACTTCCTTGGGCCCCAGCCATGATCTTGGAGAAGATGAGGTGGAGCTGGATTGCTGGTTTAATGAGGAGTTCAAGTTCATCCTGCTGCCTGTGAGCTATGCAGTTGTCTTTGTGCTGAGCCTGGGCCTCAATGCCCCAACTCTCTGGCTCTTTCTCTTCCGACTCCGACCCTGGGATGCAACAGCCACCTACATGTTCCACTTGGCACTGTCAGACACCTTGTATGTGCTGTCACTGCCCACCCTCGTCTACTATTATGCAGCCCACAACCACTGGCCCTTTGGCACTGGGTTCTGCAAGTTTATTCGTTTTCTCTTCTATTGGAACCTCTACTGCAGTGTCCTCTTCCTCACCTGCATCAGTGTGCATCGCTACCTGGGCATCTGCCACCCACTGCGGGCACTACACTGGGGCCGCCCTCGCTTTGCAGCCCTTCTCTGCCTAGGAGTTTGGTTGGTGGTAGCTGGCTGCCTTGTTCCCAACCTGTTCTTTGTTACGACCAGCACCAGGGGGACCACCATTCTGTGCCACGACACCACTCGGCCTGAGAAGTTTGCCCACTATGTGTACTTCAGCTCAGCGATCATGGGGCTGCTCTTTGGCTTGCCCTGTCTGGTCACTCTGGTGTGCTACGGGCTCATGGTCCAGCGCCTGTATCAGCCCTTGCCAGGATCTGCGCAGTCATTTTCTCGGCTCCGTTCTCTCCGCACCATCTCTGTGGTCCTGATTGTCTTCGCTGTCTGCTTTGTGCCTTTCCACATCACCCGCACCATTTATTACCTGGCAAGGCTACTGGAAGCTGACTGCCAGACACTGAATATTGTCAACGTGGCCTACAAAGTGACTCGGCCCCTGGCCAGTGCCAATAGCTGCCTGGATCCCGTGCTCTATCTACTCACTGGGGACAAGTACCGACGACAGTTCCAGCACCTTTGCAGAGGTGGCAGACCCCAGCCCCGCACAGCTGCCTCCTCCCTGGCACTGGTGTCTCTGCCTGAGAATAGCAGCTGCAGATGGGCAACTACCTCCCACAACGGTAGCTGCCCTGCCCCTAGGGAAGATAGACTGTAACACTGGAAGCTGGGAGGTGTGGGGAAAGAGAGTGAGTGTGGGACAGAGGTGAGGGTCCTCTTTAGTGACCCCTGGCAAAGTGTTTCATTTCCCCTCTCCTTTTTAGACAAAGGTAGTAGTGGTTACTTCACTGCCTCTACTTCTTTCTCTTTGTTTCTGTCCTTTCCCAGGGACATTAGTCCTGCTTCTGGTTTCTGTAAGGCTTCTCAGGTCCTTTTTCTTACTCCACTTCCCCCAAGTCCTACACGGCATGCATTTCTCCAGCCAGACCAAAGCATTCATCCGGAGGGGTGGAGAGGGCGGGGCAACTGTAGAATTTGGTTTATCTGATAGCGATAGCCAGAAGCAGGAAGTAGGCTGAACTGGCATATCATACATGCCATATGTGCCATGTGTAGCACCCACACCCACTTCCTGGTTCCCCCTCAAAGACAGGATAGTCTGGCCTGCCTAGGTGCTGAAAGAGGGTGCGATCTCAGGCAGCCTGTGTGCCAGGACTCCACAAGCCACTGGAGGCCAGGTACTATGGAGGAGGGTGGGGACTCTGAGAAGCCTGAAGGCGCAGGACTCAAGCTGTTCCAGGAACAGGAATGGGACTGGGCCTCCTTTTCATGTTTGCTGAGAACATATTTGATAGCTGTCCTGCACTTAATGAGTGAGTGGTTCAGACTGAGAGGGAGGAACTCCTGCGTTAATGGCTGCAAGTGCTGGCACCCAGGGGTAGAGCAGGTTTGTGTAGAGCATGTGGCAGTGACAGGAACTGACGTCCAAAACTTACTCTTCTCTTGTCTCTCCCCTTTCTCTAGATCCTCCCCAGGTAAATGATAAATCTGTCACCAGCTCTTTCACATCAAGGGACTCTGAAGCCAGGCCAGGGCACTGGGTCTAGGATGGTCCTTCCCAGCAGGCTCTCAGCATTTATGGGTTTATAGGATTGGGTGAGAACACGGAACTTAGGAAGCTACCTTTCGTAAGCCTTGGGAAATGAGAAGTTCTTTACAAGCATTTGTGGGAGGGGTGGGCTTATACTTGCAGGCCCTTTCCTCTAAAATTGTCTTCTAGCCAGTTGATTTTCTGAGTCAGATCCAAGTCTTGCCTTTCTTTCACCTCACCCTTACTGACCTGTCTTCAATCTCTTACTTGTCTGGTGATACCAAATTCTTGCTGGGTTCTAAGAGGTCTCTCTGGTTATTTGGATTGGGGCTGAATGTAGAAAAACTACTTCAGTATTCCTGTGCTCCTTTTCCTTTCTTCAAAGATCTCCTTTTTCTCCTTAGGTATCTGAGACCCTCCTTACACAGGACCCCTCCATGAAGAGTGAAAGAGCTGGTCTTCTGCTCCAATGCTTAGCAGTTTCCCAGTCTCATGGCTGCTGCCTAGACTGCTCCTCATGTGCATTTCTTCCTTTAACCCAGCACCTCTCCTTTCCATCAGCCAAACTCAGTAAGCCCTCTCTCTCCTCCATCACTTCTGCTTAATGGAGACTCACTGCCTGGACTTCCTGGTCTGCTACTTCAGGTCTGCCTTCCCTTTTACTCCAGCTTTAGTTAAACACCTTGGCTTTCACCTGGGGCCAATGCTATCGGCTGGTTTGACCCACTGAAATTTCACTTCCTGGGGAACGTCATCTAACCCTGCTGCATTTCTAGCAAATGTCCATAGTGACTGTTTCATGTATTTTTCTCCTCAAGGCCTCAACTCCATTCTACTCTTGTGATTGCTTAGGCAAGTTACCTCGCCTCTTGTAAAACAGAGGATGTAATACCTCAACTTATCTCTGCTTCATTCACAATCACACTGCTTCTTTATTTACCTTGTCTTTCTTCCCTGCAGTCCCAGAAGAAGAGAGGGTCCTCTCTCTTGTTCTTTTATTAGTTCTCATCATCACTGTCAGTCTCTTCTATCACTGATTCCATAGCACCTTAAAAACAACAAATACAAAGCTTTACCACTGATACCTTAACCTTGCCATTTCTTTCACCTACCATTCTATTCATCTTTATTCATTTCACTACCAAATTCTAGACAGAATACCATAAGCCCCAATTCCTCGACACAAAATCACTCCTTAACTCTTTGAACCTGAGTTCCTTCTTACTTTTCTGCACTTACCAGTACAGAAATTATCTCTTAAGCAAGACCTCTAATGGTCCATTCTCTACATGTCTCTTTGATATATTTCACTTCATTCTATTGCGTGGCCTCTTTTGAAATGACTTTTAAAATAAAAATAGCATTTAAGTATCTCATTAGGACAACATTAAAGGCAATTTTCAGAGAAAATATATACTTTTAAACCCTACATAACAATTTTCATTTTTCCATGTTCAAAGTTTTGTCAGTTTTCATACACACATATTTTGTTTTCTGTGTCCTGAACATCTTAATGTGTGTGGATTTTTCCTTTGTAATTCTCTGTAAGATAAATTCCCCGGAGTGGGATTATCAGACTAAAGGGCATGAACATTTTTATGGACTGTGGTTTTTGAAATGACTACATGGATTTTCAATGTCATAGTAAGTGTCATAATGAGATGAGTGTTTCAGTTCCCTTGCAATTCTAGCGTCAAACTTTATAAGACCTATTTTTGTATAGTTAAAAATTCATTTGTCTTGTTAATTTCTTTGTTTAGTTTAAAATTTGAAATTTTTATCAGTACATGTTTGCAGTACATAATGATTACATTTATTATAGGGAGTTGCTATGTGTACATAACACATCGTAATTCTTTTATGACTGCCTCTCCTCCTTTTCTTCCTCCCTCCCTCCATCATTTGGTCTGCTTCCCATTTGCTCTTTTAATTTCATGGATGTGATTACTCATGGGATCGAACACACTTTCCCTCACATTTGTTGTTTACATTCTTCTCCAGTTGGCATTTTAGTGGTATTCTTATAACTAAATGTAGTTTTTATTTAATATGTGTTAATCCTTTGTCATATTTCATATAAACATTTATCCCATTTATTGTAATACCTTAATTTTAGTTCTTCATTTTATCCATTTGATTTAGAATGTTTTTACTTCTGTTTTTCTCTTTTCAATAACTTCCTGTCCTCTTCGCTGACATCTCTTTTTTTTTTAATGTCCTAAATAAATAGAATTCCTGAGATCTGTAGAGTCATACTTTTTGGGGATGATTTAGTAACGGTCCCTCATCAGCTTGATTTTTCTTTTTAGAGACCGTATATGCAATTGACTCTTTTTAGTTGAGTCATGGTCCTTGAGAACACCTCAGAGATTATGTAGGACCTGAGCACTCCTTCACATTCCAGATGAGGAAACATGCAGAGAGGAGATTTACCTATGACTTACTAAATTAGGAGCAGAGGAGAGACTGGGTCCTAGATCTCCTGATTGCCACAGCTCCTTCCATTCCACCATACCAACTCACTCCTAAACCTGACCTTTCTCACAAGTTCTGTTTTTATGTCTTCAGTTGCCCCTTGGACAGTTTTATTTAGATCTGCCATTGTTATTTCTAACCCAAAATGAAAGTCCCTGAACCAGTTCTCCTACCAGTTTGGCTCATTTCTGCTCCTGGCATCTTCTGTCTTCAACTCACCTAGACCTGAAAACTGTCAGGCAACTTCCACTCTTCTTCCTCCCTATATCACCAGACTCTGACAATGATTTTTTTTTTTTGGCTTGCTGACTCCAATTGGCCTTCTTTTATGGTCCCAGGCTACAATATCAGCTCTTGTCACTTTTTCCCTGACTGACTCATAGATTTCTAACTGACCCTTACCTCTGGTCTCTTTTCACACAGATGCATCCTACACAATGTACATTGCCAGATCAACCTGCCCTAACACTGTTCTCAGAATTTCACTCCTTTACTCGAAACTCTTTCATCGTTTTCTATTGTGTACAGGTCAAAATCTTTTAGACAGAAATTCAAGAGGGCTTTTTCAATCTTACTTACCATTCTTCCTAAGTGCAAATCTCTCTTCTCTAGTTGTCAGTCTCTTCTTTTTTTCTCTAAACAAGACTTACAGTTTCTGACCTCTGTACTTTTATTCTTTCTGTCTCAAACACTAGAATGTGCTTCCTTTGGTCTCCTGCTGTCCTTTTCTTACCCAGTTTCCAAGGTTAGATTTCAGCCTCACTTCCTCTTTGAGGTCCATCCCACCTGTAATTATTACATGTATCAGCCACTTGGCACTTTTAATGCCTTTTATCACTTATACTATTATCTTGAATTGCTATTTACTTCTCCATGTGTGTTGAACTGCTGTTTACTTCCTTATCTTGAGTTCTCACCCATAAACCTCTTGAGTTACTGGGTAAAAGAGAAAGAACATAGGACCGAAAATCAAGAGACCAAAGTTTGAATTCTGACTCTAAAAGTGGAGCTCAAGTGTGTCACTTTGGATGGGTCACTTAAACTCTCTCAACCACAGTTTCATCATCTATAAAATGATGATCATAATCTCAGCCTTAAGCAAGTCTTCACATTATAGTGAGGCTCTACAAATCTAGAGAGCTAAGCAAATATAAATGGTTGTTACTATATCACTCCATTTGCTTAATAAATGGTGCTTGATAGATAATGATCATATGTTAGTAGTTGGTTTATTGTCTCTTCCCCTAGGTATATTTCTACCTTAAGATACAACAAGAATGCCCAAGAAATTAAAGACCTCCAGGGTTGTTAGGAACAGTGGGGCTGAGGAGGGCAATGGAAAGATGTTCTGTAGGAAAATAGGCTTATCAGCCTCTCTTATTCCACTACAGAGGCCAGTCACTTCTTGGTCTTCCTGTAAGGCTAATCTGGATGTGGGAAAGAGGTGGCATATTGGAATTTTTACTTCTTCCACATTTCTACTCCTTCATCCCACAATCCCCAGATGATTAGGCCAAGTTACTTGATCTCTCTAAACTTTAATCAATAAATTTGGATAGTAATACCTATCTGACAGGGCTTTGGTAAAAAGTCAACAGAGTAATGAATGAAGAAACATCATATACTGTTCCTGTGGGCAGAGATCTCAACAA